CAACTATGCCAACTCACCATGCCATTATCCATGGGAAAAGACTCACCTTAGCAAGCACCATGCATGCGACTCATATTCAATTAGTTTTTACAACTACTCCCTCCGTTCCGAAATATAAGTCGTTGGGGGAGTGTAAACTGTACTCCCCCAACGACTTACATTTTGGAACAGAGGTAATATATAATAATAAAATATAAAAAATTTATATCTACTTGGGTTTCAGTTTCTCATATTACTAATACAAATAATAGAAATAACTGCATCCAATTACCGCAGCAGCACGCGGGGTATCATCTCTCGTGTGTTTTTATTGTTCAGCCAACCTTTTTTTACATGAGTTTTTTATTGTTCAGCCAACCATGTGGTGGACCCGCCATCGTCGGCGCACGTGCGGCAATTCCTTGTCGAAGGCATAGCCTAGGAGTTGTGTATTTCCGTTCATGTTGTGTCTTGTATCATAGGTATTAGTGGCTATCTTGTCGCTAGGTATACGGCCTTAGGATTTATTTCCAGGTCGATGGTGCTCGGCTGCTGGTTTTTGCACTATTTATTAATAATATATGGCTGAATGCATCGTGTTGTTGCAGAGGCCGGGGGTTATCCTTCTTTAAAAAAAAAGATATGGATGTTGACGTCGTGAAACTAACATTCCAAACGTCGGTGTGTAGTGTCACTTTAAAACTCCCCAGCCACGAGGACCCGGCTTCAACGGCTAGCTAGCAGGTTAACTGACGTCGTGAAACTAACATTCCAAGGCTTGTAATAATTTTATTTTCACTTTATTAATCTACAACAACCGCATAAGCAAGGCTAGTTTTGTGCACACTCGCGTCTCTATTCAGTCTCTCTTTCTCTCTCTCTATAGCAGGTGGACCTAATATATACTACTCCCTCCGTCCGGAAATACTTGTCATCAAAATGAATAAAAAAGGATGTATATAATATACAGTGCAAAGAGAAAAATCTTAGTAGAAAGTTGAGTCATAAAAATCTTAGTAGAAAGTTGAGTCATCTATTTTAGAACGGAAGGAGTAGCACATGTTAACTGAGGCGCCTCTAACAAAATTTTGTAATAAGTAGCACATGATGCCACATCAGCTTTGTACTTCTTTTCAAAGAACAAGACGGGGAGACGGTCTTCACCTAGTTTTGTACTCCCTCCGTTCCAAAATAGATGATCCAATTTTGTACTAACTTTATACAATGAGCCAGCCTGTCTCCCCCGTTTTTCCTTCCTGAGTTGAGTCTATAAAAACAGACATATACATCACAAATTGCACCCAGACACAAGTGTTCCCAGCGTCAAGCTTGCACCCACAGACTCAAATGGGTGCAACCCGTTAGCGCTGAGGATGATCAACGCTAAAAGTTAGCGCTGACGTTGTAAACTTGTAAACTAATATAAGGGCGTTTAGATAACTAAAATAGTGATCTAAATGCTCTTATATTAGTTTACGGAGGGTCTTTTTCTTCTGAAAGTTTTTTTTCCCACATCTAGTTAGAATGTATTGCTGTTCTGCAAAATTTGAAGTTCATATGTTGTGTCGTTTGAGAGAAACAAAACAAAAAAAAAGACAAATGCGTCTGCACGGATCGCGATGCAGAAATGGATGGCAAAGATAAGAGGTACCATGTAGCTCCGAGCTCAGATCAAGCGAGGTCAGAGGCGCAAGCTGCAACTATGTACAGTACAGACCACCATATGCGTGCCTGGGAGGTGCACAATGATGCATGTACCCTTCCTACCCTTGATCAGCTTTAGGTAGGAAGTCGTGTACATAGTTGCAGCTCAAAGATCCTCTTTTCCTCTCCCACATGGCGATGAACTACCATCTGAGTTCTTTTCTGAGAAAGAAGAAGATGCAAGGCATGGATCCAAGCCTGAAGGCGACCATTGTGGGACACCATGTTCACTGGCGGCCTCATGTAGAGGATATTGTTCAGTTGAGGGTCCTCGGGTCATCGATCGCTCTCACTTTGTAGGCAGCTATGTCTTCTTCCACCACAAACACCGCTGCGTGCATCAATACAGATAGATCAACGCATGCTGTAACACTCAGCTGACAGTCGAATTTACAGTGGCAGGAAGCCAGGAACAGGATGCGTGCTTACCTTTTGCATCTCCATCGCCTAGGACCGTGATCTTGTCAGATGGAGGACCGGCGCCAACGGCTGCAACATCGCAGATGCTCGGAAGGTAGGTTTCGGCGAACCCGTTGCAGCAGACAAATGTATGTATGAGGCATACATACCCTCTGCCTCGATCAGACAGTGAAGCCTGGTTTTACCAGTGTACACTGTACAGTGTGGCCGCTGGATCCACGGTGTGAACCCTCTCTACGTCAGAGCCAAACTCGGATGGCAGGCAGGAACCTCTCAACATCAACTATCCGGTTGGTGATCCATCTGTAGCCACATGGTTCCACCAAGAAACAAGACAAGTTGATAACCTGACTGACCTTGATGAGATTGCCGGCCTCCTTGATTGCCATGACAATCCTCATCTGCTCGTCGAGCTGACAGCGCCCCACGGCAGAGATGACAACTTTGATTGCATCTACGAGGCTCCCGTGGTCAAATAAATATCTCTGGTCATCAGACAGACAAATAAGAATCCACAGAGAAAAACAGAGTGTAGCTTGATGAGAGCACACAACAGATGATGATATTAATCTTATACCTTGATGATGAGAGCAACGACACCGGAGTCGATCAAGCTTTTGAGGAGCTGGATCAAAAGGCGCAGCATCCCTAGCTCATGAGGACAGAGGTACAACAATATGCTTGCCGATGTGACCTGTGCCACCAATTATCAGGACCCTGCTCCTCTCCTCCTCATTGTCCAGTGTCATAGTCCCTGATTCAAATACCAAAAAATGCTCTGCTGGCTTGGGTGCGCTGCAAGGTCTTTTACCGGCTGCAATTTCAAGTGGTCAAAGGAATTATTAAGTTGACTGACAATTTCCACCTACAAAACAATCAATTGCTAAGTTTCAACAACCCTCACCTTCCATTAAGTGCACCTTGGTATCTGCTCTGCTCATGGACATCGCAACAAAACCTCATCCATACATCCATGGTCAACTGTAATTATAAATCACTGAAAAGGTACTTTTGGGTCTTTCATCCATATACATCCATGGCCGACTGTAATTATAAATCATCTGAAAAAAGTACTTTTGGGTCTTTCATCCATATACAACCATGGCCGACTGTAATTATAAATCATCTGAAAAAAGTACTTTTGGGTCTTTCATCCATATACATCCATAGCCGACTGTAATTATAAATCATCTGAAAAAATAATTTTGGGTCTTATTCAACCTCGGTGACTGTGGAACCTCTCTTTTCAATAAGCATTCTACCACTAACTTTGCGCCTGACTATGGTTTATGAACTCTTGACATCTTAAAAGAAATAAACAGTTAATATCATTTGTGGTACATTATTTTCTCATACAATGACACACTTGACCGGAGGGCAGGTGTACACACAAGTTGCAAGACAGTAATGCAGGCTTCAGTAATAAACTTCACTACAGAGATCCTACACGTTCTCACAGGCACAGATATTAGTAAGCCATAACAGTAGAGTGGGCGTAATACGCATTTAGCACAAAACAGAGCTGTTGAGCATAATATGGCATAATGATCAGGTGTCACAAAAGACAAAATAGAGCCTCGATTTTTGTAAAATAAAGCCTAGAAAAGAAGAGACAGACAGATCAACCTCACTGTACCAATCTTCAAAAAAAAAATCCTCATGACACATCTCCAAGCAGTATGGCATAAAAATCAGATGTCACAGAAGAGAGCTGTTGAGTGTACCTGAATCAGACTCTGCTGCTGGTCCATGATTGTTCTGCCTTGTACCGTCCAACAGGGTGATCATCCTCGGCACCTCCGTTTGGCACGTCAGCTCCCTTGGCTCCAGGCACGGTGACGGCTCCAGCGAGCATCTGAGACTGGACACGGTGACCACGGTTGACTAACTCAGACAGGTGTGTCAGCTGTCAGCAAGGAAAATCATCTCATGCACAAATGTTATCAGTGTATGACTATTGAGGCAAAACACAGACTGAATCAGCTGCAAGACAGCACCGAATCAGCGACTGCCCGTGTTTGTTTTTCAGGCTCAGAGCTGGCTCATGGTCCAAACTGTAACTTACTGAAAATTATATCAGTCATGCTACATTATTTTTCATACAATGACACACTTGATCTGCGGATAGATGTAAAGACAAGTAGCGAGGAAATAATGCTGCATTAAGCACTCGGTTGAATGTTTCTGTATAACTTAACTTGTAACAATATATATATATATATATATATATATATATATATATATATATATCAATAGTATAATTTCAAATTCTAATTTGAAGGACCAACAGGCTCCAATAAGTAGATTTCACTACAAACATCACAAGCACAGATGAGTAAGGCCACTAACTAACAGTAGCGTAAGCAACTAAGCATAGTATGGAACTGAGGCATCTCAGGGGAACCTATGAATTCATTATCATTCGTGACACATTATTTTACACACAGCTGGTTTGCAAGATGACACGCTCGATTAGAGGGCAGGTGAAGAGATGATGCTGCACTAAGTACTTGAGTTAAACCAAATAGATACTAGTATGATTCCAAATGCTAATCTGAAGGTGAGAGAAATCTCACCTATGGCACCTGTTAACAGGCTCCAATAAGTGGGAAAGGTCATACACATCCTCATAAGCATGGACAAATAAGTCAGTAGGTCACTAGTTCTGTTGCGACAATGGCATTGCATAATGATCAGGTGTCACAAAACAGAGTCTAGCAGAGTGGCCTGTCTTTAAAAGACCACAACAGCCTCAATTGTACAATAATAAAGCCTAACATGCGACAGACAGCTAAATCAACCTCACCGTTCCAATCATCGAAAATATCCTCCTCATGACACATTTGCTTGCAAGCAGTATGGGTTCTTCTTCTAAAGCCTAACCTCCAAGATTACTTCTACTTGCGCTGCTTCTTCTTGGTATGCTCCACCTTTCCTTCTTCTTGAGCGTCGTTGTCGCCATCTCTGCTCCTCTTGTTTTTCTTGTGCTTCTTCTTCTTGTCGCTCCCCAAATCGGCATCGACGAAATCAACTTGTTCTTTCTTCACCTGGACCAACTCTTGCGCGGCATGCTTCCGCTTCTTCTTGAGCTGCTCCGGCTCCTCCTCCTCCTCCTCTGCCTCCTGCTTGATGATGACGATGTCTTTCTCCTCCTCCTTCTTCTTCTTCCTGGGAACCAAACTGATCCCTACTTTGGACACCACCGCCTCCTCCTCCTCCTGTTGGAGTTGGATCAAAGAAGGGACATGTTGCTCCTCCTGCTTGACGACACGCCTCTCTTCCTTGTTCCTCCGCTTCCTCTCACTGTGAACAAGGTCCCCCTCCACATCCACCTTGACCTTGACCTCGTGCTGGTGCTGGGCCCTGAGTAGGTCGCGGCGGAACTCGCGGAGCTCGTCGACGGCGTCGGCGGCGGTGCGGAGGTATGTGCCTGCGTCGGAGGAGGGGAGGTTGGAGGCGGAGCTCTTGTGGAATCCGTCGAGGATGACCTTGGCCTTGAGGAGCGAGCACGGCTTGGAGGAGACGATGGCGCCGGTGACCGCCCTCATCGCCTCGCCGCCGGCCGCCGCCGCCGCCGCCGCCACAGAGAGAGACAAAGGAGGCTGCTTGGTTGGTTGGTTCACTCCTAGTCCTAGGGTTGCTTGCTTGCTTCTTGGTTTTGTCGGGCCGATGGACAAACCATTTTGGGCCGCAGCCCACAAAATACCCCTAGGGTTTGCACTGGGCCAACTAAACCACCCCTGTTTCCCTCAAAAAAAAAAAAACTAAAACACCCCTGTGTCTCAAAAAAAAAAAGTAAAACACCTCTTGTTTATCGAAATCACTAATTGACAAGTACTCCTTTGAACGATCACTTTCACCTCCTTAGGTTGCGGCAAGTGGTGCGCTGCATGTGTGCGCCACTTGTCGCAACCGGGGAGTTTTTTCTTTTACGTGGATCAGTTTATTCAAAACGTTGCCTCTCACAGAAGGAAAAAAAAAAGAAAACATGTTTTTTTTGTTTTCAAGAGCCGTGCCTCTCGCGGAAACAAAACCATGCCTTCCTAAAAGGAAAACCGTGCCTCTCCCGAAAAGAAAAAAAATGAAAAACACATTTTTCCCGTTTCCGATTGGCATGGTTGTGCCTCTCGCGAAAGCAAAACCATGTCTCACACGGAAGAAAAAGAAAAAAGGAAACACGTTTTTTCGCGAAAAAATTGAATATTTTTCCTCCAAAAGCTAAGAGAGACCGGTGGAAAACCGAAAAAAAACATCTAAAAAACCAAAAACGCATGCGAAAAAAATACAAAATCAAGAGGAAGTGCTCATAGCGCGACACGTGGCGGCGGCTGAGAGCGCATCAAGTAGCGCGCTCTCAGCCCACCCCTAAGTCATCGTTAGGAGGCTCCCGGAGAAGCGCTCGCCAACCAGTTGCTCCCTTTCTCGAAAAGAAAAAAGACTAAAAAAAACCTTAAGCCCTCATAAACAATAGCCTTTTATGCCATCGATGATTGGTAACACCAGTGCGAAATTTTTTCTAGGGTACTAAGTTTCATACCAACCACTTTCATACGGTAGGAGCAGCAGGGGGCGGCCTACTGTCTTTTTTTTATAGAAAGACTGTAAAAGAACCCCTACAGTATAATTGGTGCAACAAACCCAAATTGCAAGTATCATGCCTTGAACCTGGATGGGTGGGAAGGCATCAACCCCTTCCCACCACTAGGCTATGCCTTAGTCGGCCGGCCTACTGTCATCGGAGACTAAGTCGCCTTGCCACCGACCAAGCTGCCGACGATGGTTGCTGGTGAGGTGGACCAAATGAGTTTTTTTGTGCCCAATCTATTTTTGGCGCGGGCAGTGGCGTGGGGGTCGTTTCTGACGGCGACACGCCGGCGGCGGTGGCAGAAGGTTCTTCGCTATCCATCCCAGCTGGAACCAGTGCAATGGTGGTGGCTGCGATGACTAGGGGCGGCGACAGTAGGAAGGCGTGGCCGCTCGACCAGGATAAGGGGGCTGAAATTTTTAAGAGAGCTGGGGAAAATTTTCAGGCCGTGGAAAATAAATTTTCCTCCATTTAACTGTTTGTGAGTTTGGCTAGGTCTGCTTAGGGCATTTCTAACTGATCTCCTATAAAATAGAGGAGTATGCGGCCGAGTAAACCTTAGTGGTCCAGTAAGTTTTTGTCGGTTGTAGTCGATCCCATAAACTTAGCGGAGTAAAACATAAATTTACATAAATTCAACCTAGTTTCAACCGAAATTGGCGTACATTTAAACATAAGTTCAACATAGTCTTGACAACCGAACATTAAATATAAATTCAAACTTGAACTAAAATAGACTACTCATCTTCATCGGCCATAGTGGAGGTCGAGCCAATCTTTCCTCGACAGGCCATCGCCGGTAAGACATGGGTCTGGGCCGGTGTCGTCGTCGTCGCAGTCGGGAAAGATGCTTCGCCACTCCTCGACGTCGAACTCCTCCTCCTTGCCGCCCTCCTAGCCATCTTGCACATCATCGTCGGAGATGATGATGACCTCCCCGTCATTGTCGGTGAATATCGCTCGCTCCGCCTCAACGAGCTCGGGGTACTGGCGGCGGAGGTCCTCCATGTACGCCTCGTCGGTGGCCTCTGCCTCGAGGCGCTCCCTCGCCTCTCAGTCCTCCAGAGCAATGGCCGCGCTCACCACACCCGGCTTAGGTGGGACGAGGTGGACTGGCGCCGTCCCGAACGGGAAGTTCAGCCTCACGGCAGAGCGGTGGAACCGGACTTGCCACCGGTCATGTTCCATCTCCGCGATCTCCGTCGTGTGGAACGACCCGGCCAACTTCCTCTTGTGGGTCTCCCAGTTGGTGATCTCCGCCACCCATGTCCTCCACGACTGCTACCGGACGCCGAGTATGTCCTGTGTGGTGGCCGCGCCGAAGAGAGGTCTGAAAAGTCGGCGAACTGGGTGGGAGCGGGTGGATCGGACGAGTGGCGCCGGTTCGAGGATGCACCCCTAGACGATGAACCACGGGCGTGGCGACGCGGATCCGCGTTGCGTATCGGTGGCAGGGATCTCCGG